CCCCCCGCCACAACTTCACACGCCTGCTTCTGTCTGATATGTTCCCCGCACGCCTCCTGTCTCGACTTGCTTCAGAGGAGCCCTCGGGCTTCTGTTCATATCTTGAGAGAATAATTTGGGCTCTGGATTCCACTGATCCTCCTCCTTCTCTACAAGCGGCACAAAACCAAGTCCACTTCGGTCTTCTGCACCGCCACAGCATATGGCAAAGCTGGAAGGAGCGGCTGACCTAGAGTCTGGTTTTATTTCATAGCTAAGAGGGCCAAACTATGTGTTGCAGCACTGAAGGTGCATTAGATGTTGGCAGTGTTCCCTCTAAGCAGAGTTAGTGTGAGCTAGCTCACGGTTTTTTAGAAATTCCTGGAAATTTGAGGTTGGAGCCATGGGAGTGTGGGGGTTTTGGAACGAGAGGGACCTCAGCTCGGTGTAACATAGAGTTGCCAGTCTCCAGGTGATTCAGTAAAACACTAAATCGCCGTGTATAATTTTACATTCCCCCCCTTTTTATATTATGCTAAGTGTGAATTTTAAAGTATTTTTAGAATGATTCATTAACAAAAATACAACTTAAGGATTAACCGTGAAGCTCAATAGTACTTCAAGACCGGGGTGAATCAACAACAACAGACAAACCTGATGAAGAATACGCAAACGGAATGGTTATTAGAACACCCGTTGTTTGTCATGGGCCCCGGTCACATGGGAGGTTTTGGCCTGGAAGAGGGACGGATCGGGGGCGCAGCAAATGTTTTGCAACAAAGGTTCCCAACTCCGGGTGGGAAATTCCTGGAAATTTGAGGGTGGAGCCAGGGGAGTGTGGGGTTTTTGGAAGGAGAGGGACCTCAGCTCAGTGTAACATAGAGTTGCCAGTCTCCAGGTGATTCAGTAAAACACTAACTCACCGTGTATAATTTTACATTCCCCCCCCCCTTTTTATATTATGCTAAGTGTGAATTTTAAAGTATTTTTAGAATGATTCATTAACAAAAATACAACTTAAGGATTAACCGTGAAGCTCAATTCAAGACTGTGGTGAATCAACAACAACAGACAAAAACTGATGAAGAATACGCAAATGGGATGGTTATTAGAACGCCCATAGTTTGTCTTAGTTGCTTTTGTAAGAAGTAGTTGGGACCTTGTGCCTAAGATAAGACCTCATTATTGGCTGTAAATATTTCTACAGAAGTGATATCATTCTGAATGTACTGTTGAGCTTCACGGTTAATGCTTGAGTTGTATTTTTGTTAATGAATCATTCTAAAATACTTCAAAATTCACACTTAGCATAATATAAAGAAAGAAAGAAAATGTAGAATTATACACAGTGATTTAGTGTTTTACTTAGTCGCATACACCATGGTCTGGTTTGTTGTAATCAGTCTCCAGGTGATAACAACGAGGTTCTGTATATAGCAAAAATAAAGACCAAACAATGAATAGTTCCTGCTATGTTATTCTTAATCATGCATGAAATGAGAGAATCTCGCAACATGTAGATAATCTTACAAACAGGGCTTTTTTGTAGAAAAAGCCCAGCAGGAACTTATTAGCATAATAGGCCACACCCAACAGCAAAACCTATTAGCATATTAGGCCACACACCCTGACAGCACAGCTCATTAGCATATTAGGCCACACACCCCTCGTTACCAGAAGTGTGGTCATCCAGCCACACCCATCGTTTGCTTCTTATTCTGTTTACCTTGTTTGTTGTCAAAACCCAGGGCTTTTTTTTTGTAGCAGGAACTCCTTTGCATGTTAGGCCACACACTCCTAATGTAGCCAATCCTAATGAGTTTCTGCTGCTGGGTGTGGCCTATTATGCTAATGAGTTCCTGCTAGGCGTGGCCAACTTGGGAGTCAGCCGGAACTCCGTTCCTGTGCGTTCCTGCCCAAAAATAGCCCTGCAAGTTACAAACATACAAAAGACAGGAACCGCAAGGAACACTACGCCAAATGCAAATTGGGATGCTGCAAATGCTAATACAGTCTCTAACATAGCCCTAAGGCTGTGTGATACTCTCACTGACGATCCAGTATCCCAGAAGAAGCTTGTCACTGTAGCATATCCCCTTACGGGCGCGCCAGCTGTCAAATTGTCCCATTTCACTGGGGCTTTATCAAAGAGGCGACTGATACTTCAATAAATTCCCAAGGTTAACATTCTATGGATGAACGGCTGCTTTGGAAGGTGGACTGTATGGCGTTCACCCCACTGAGGTTCCTCAATTCCCTAAACTTACCAAAGATCCACCCCCAAAATCTCCAGGAATTTCACAACCAGCGCTGTCAACCCAAGTATAACACCTTACAATCCACCCGCCAAAGCAGCCATGTTCTCCAGCAGAACTGAGTGGTGTACCCTGGGGGGTTATCAGCTAGGGTTGCCAGATTCCCCCCCCCAGCCACAAGCAGGGGATTGGGGGGCAGGGTTGCCAGTTCTAGGCAGGAGAACTCCTGGAGATTTGGGGGTACAGCCCAGGGAATACAGGGACCTCTATGGTATAAAATGCCATAGAGTCCACCCTCCCAAGCATCCATTTGCTCCAGGGGAACTGATCACTGTAGTCTGGAGATGAGCTGTAATTCTGGGGGATCTCCTGGCCCCACCTGGAGGCTGGCATTTTTATGGTCAACCCTGTTAAAACTAGAGGCACATGAAACTGAACCATGGGGGGGGTTGTTAGTGTTTTATTCATTGATTTATTCGAAATATTTATTAGCCGCCTTCCATGTGGAGCGCTTGGAAGTTTACAGTGTTAATAAAATACATAAAATAGATTTTGTGAAACAGTGACAACGCTGGCTCTAGGATTTGGGGGAATTCTAGACAAGTCCCCCCAAGTGGGGCCCCTTCATTGGTGAAAGACTACTGACCTGGAGAAGGAAACCCAAAGGGAGTGTTCTGATGCACACCTCTCTCCAGGGCTCTTTTTGTAGAAAAAGCCCAGCAGGAACTCATTAGCATAATAGGCCACACCCAACAGCAGGAACTCATTAGCATATTAGTCCATACCCCTGACAGCACAGCTTATTACCACATTAGGCCGCACCCCCATGTTACCAGAAGTGTGGTTATCCAGCCACACCCACCTTTTGCTTCTTATTCTGTTTACCTTGTTTGTTGTCAAAACCCAGGGCTTTTTTTGTAGCAGGAACTCCTTTGCATGTTAGGCCACACACCCCTAATGTAGCCAATCCTAATGAGTTTCTGCTGTTGGGTGTGGCCTATTATGCTAATGAGTTCCTCACCTAAGGAACTGTGCTTTTGTATTTGTGGCTCTTCTGTTATTGAGGATCTTCCCCATTGTATTCTTGAATGCTCAATGTATACCCAACCCAGGTTAAAATTTCCCTCCAGTATTTTATCAGACTTAAGTTTCTATTCAGATTCTGAGAAGATTGGATTCTTGTTTGCTGATTCCAATGCCAATATATCTTCTAGAATGGCTTTATATGCCTTGGCTGCAAAGAAAACACGGTCCAATGCTGTTCTTATGGAAACTAATTAATATTGATCTTAGTGGACACCTTTTGATTTAATTAATTGCTTATAACTTCAGTTTTATGGTTTTATTATATCTTAAATTTTACTCTATTTTATACCATTATTCATACTTACAGTATTCCCCTCTGTTGTTATCCTCGGTTTGTAATGGCCTATGGCTAAATACAAATAAATTTCTATTTCAACTCTTTCTCAGCCTATTTTTCTCATCCCCAGGCTAAGCACAGTGAGCGCTTCCAGAACTCTGTGATAAGAGGAGTACAGAAAGGGGGTGACTTGGCAGCGGTCTCTCAGGAACGTTGAAAGCAGTACAAGAAAAGCACGCCAATTCTCACCTATGGCCCCGGTCACACCGGCCAGATAACGCAGGGG